GCTAATCCCTTCATCTTCTTTCCTCCAGTGTCCCCCTTCCACCTCCCCTCTGATAGCTGTCAGTCTGTCCCATGTTTCATTGCCCCTGTTCCTATTTTCTTCCTCAGATTATGTTGCTCATTAGATTCTACCTACAAGAGAGATCATATGGTATTAATACAATGGACATTATAGAACAAAGTAGCTTCACCTTCCAACTAGAGGACTGTGATGTTAGCAGAAGTAAACAGGAATTCTGTCTCTATTGTGTTCTCCCCCTATGAGACGTATGGAAACAGGAGGCAGGAACTGAAGAAAAATAAGGGAAGTGTCACTTCAAGAAATTTCCAAATAACCACCTCCTGGGCCAGCCAGGCTGTGAAGTGAAATAATTTAAAACTAGGGGAGAGTATATCTTGCAGGCACCTGGAGACACCGAGCACAATCAGTTTTGCAATCCTGCAGCTTACTTGATTTCCATTTCACTCTACAGCTTCTTGGATGCTTACCAAATGCCAGGCACTGGGTTAGGTCCCCAGGGAGCACAGAGCCTCGTGTTGACAGGCCGCTGTTCAATTACCAGCTCTACCCATGGAACTTCTGTGGTCTGAGAACATATTCTGTAAAGCATGATATCACTTTCTACATAGGGCTTAGTAACACAGAAAGCATTCAATTAGAAATATAATTACTATTATTATTACTAGAATTATTATTACAGGGATATAAATTTATAAGCAACATGCCTTATGTTACAGTTCATAGTCAAGTGGGAAATTAAAAAAAATAAGTAGCTACAATGCAATAAGGTAGATACTGTTTCTAAGGAATATATAGACTGCTGTTAAGACAGAAAGGATAACAGAATGACACAGCAGTGAAAATAATCTGTACCTCTCCTAGAGTTTGTTAAACCATAAAGCTAGAATATTTCAAGTAAAGGTCTAATTTTTTAAAAATAAAAAAAAACCCTATTTCCTTCTATGCCAAAATTCTATAAAAAAACTAAGTACTTCAATAACCCCTTTAGTCTGGTTCTGGGTTTTTTTGTTTGTTTGTTTGTTTGTTTTGTTTGTTTGTTTGTTTGTTATTCTTGTCTAACATTCTAAAAGAAGCATTATGTTTATTGTTAGTTGTCTGCGTCCTGCCACTTAAATGTGAACCCCACAAGAGCATGCCTTTTGTCTTTTGTCCTTGTTCAAGACTGCATTCAAAAGACCTAGAATAGTACCTGGCTTGTACTAGTTATTTAATAAGTTATTGGTTGATGATGCATGCATGCATGCATAAATGAATGAATTGGTAATTCCCATCACCTAACAGCGGGCATCTTCAGGATCTAAAATACATAGAAAAAACTGTCTGGCAAAAATGACCTCAGTACAGAGGAATACAATTCTGTCTATCACTCCTAACTTTCCTAACTTCCTGACATCTGATTTATAAGTAACCTACACATGTTGGTTCTCGATGCAGGGCACAATGTGGACAACTGGGCTATTCTAGACTTTCCTTCCTTCACTCAATTTTAAATAAAGAGTAATAGTTTATATAAATAAAGATATTTGACAGTTATTAGTGCCTGTGTGTAAGATCCCTTGGGTCTCTCATTCTCTCATCAGTTTCAGGTCCTAGATCAAGGGAAACCAGACTCTGGGATGGTACCTGCTATAGCCTGAGTGTCACACAGGAGATGCCAAATTCTCTGGCAGAAGGGGTGAGGTATATTCCTAGTTACAATTTAAGATTTCTTTTTTCATAGTTATAGGGCACTGAGTTTTTCATAAGAGTAGTATTATTTTGTTTGCAGGAAGTGGGTCAAAAAGATGTAGATATTTAAATTTAGAAGCCAGCCACCATAAGATAAGACAATTTCTATGTGGTAATTCTGTTTGATGTCTAAAAATGTTCAGTTTATAAGCAAACCTTTGAAATACACCTTATCTGTTAATTAGCATTGCCAATATTTAAATCAGATTTCATGTGAGTTTATTAGCTCTCTTTGGACCATCTCAACCCATTTTATGTGTGCCAACATTTCTACCCAAAAGGAATTCCTGAAAGGATAAGGACTAAAGAAAAACTATTTTGTATTTGGTTCTATTGAGTTTTAAACTGAAATCACAAGATATGAAATATTGTGTTACTATAAGAAAGCCTCTAAGATCCAAATAATCTACATATATAGTAAAGTGTCTTTAATATATATCTGTCCAGAAACCTTTCCCTTAATGAAAAAAAAATAGCATTTTCCCACCTATCAATCAATAAAGTTTTGAATTGGTTTTCATCTGCTGAGCCCTTTCTAAGAAAGGAACTATGAGCAGACTGAAGGCACGTGACATGAGGGCAGAAGATAAGCCACACAGAGCAGAGAAGAAGGATGCAATCAGAAGTCTTGTGTGCTCCGCGTGCTGATGTCAATCCACCTCTGGGCTCACCTTGACTATTATGAGACGTTCCTCCTAAGGGTCAAAGCACAACTGCTTCTTTCTGGTTAGCCTCTGGATTTTTCCCATATCCCAGCTTGCCTTAATAAATATTCATTCTGACCAGACTAAATTAAATGTCCATTCTAAATGTTGCTTTAGAGGCACTGAATGTTTCACAATTAAATATTTGGGGAAAATACATGACTTTGATTTCTCCTGTAGTCTCCTCACAGCATAGCGTACCATGTCCGGGCTGGGCTACAGGAGCTGAAGGCCTCTTTCCCTATAAATGCAGCCCATGAAGCCTATAGGAAATACTGAAAGTTGTATCCTTCAAGGACCCAAAGGCCAGGGTGCTTAATAAGTACTTGCCATTACTGAATTTGTTTGGTGAATTGCTGTCACTGTTACCGCATAATAAAGAAAAGTGAAATAAGTAAGATATAGGAATTTTCAATAGGAGAAGAAAAATACTTCATGACTAGATAAGAAATTGCTTAAATTCTTTAATGGGATCTACTTTGATATAAAGAGATGGTTGGCAGATTAGTCATTGCAGATAAAACATACTGTTAATAACAGCATTTTGTTAATTGCCCACCACGAGCCCCCCATTGAACTAGATACTTCACATAGATTAGCAAATTTAATCCTTTCAAAAACTCAGATATGTAACTTTAATTATTCTCCTTTTTCAGATGAGAAAACTGGGCTCAAAAAGATTAACTTTCTAGTCATCCAGCTAGCTAGATCAGTGGTTGGCAAACTCATTAGTCAACAGCCACATGGGGCTCGCAAGCCACAGTTTTCCGACCACTGAGCTAGATGACTGAACAGTAGAATCAAAACTGGAGGGCAGGGAAGGACAGGGCCAACATTTCTACCTGAAACACACTGCTCATATCATGAATCTGATGGTCACCTTCCAAAAGATAATGCCCTAATCAACACCTCAGATTTCATTGTTTCCCAATTTGCTGGAGAGTCGTACCCAATATTGTCTCAAAAAATCAACATGACTTAAATAGAGCTCAGTTTTTCTCACTACAAATTAGCTCTTAATTCCAAACTCTTATATGTTCTAGCAATGTCACTATTCCCAATGTCCTCACACTCCAAGTTTCCACTCAGCCTATGCCATCTCCAATAAAAAATAATCATCATCAAAAAAGATTGATCTGAACAAAATAGATCCAGTGACAAAGAAGCATGGAACAGACTTTCAAATCTCAGAGAGAAGGTAGGAGTGGGTTGAGTGGGTGAAAAAAGAGCAACCAAAGGACTTGAATGCATATATGCATAACCCATGGACATATACAATAGGATGGTGAAGCTTAGGGTAGTGGGGCAGGACAGAAAGGATCACTGGGGGGGGGGCGGCGAGATGGGACATACATAATATTTTCAACAAGAAATATATTTTTAAAAAGTAAAATAAAATAAAAATAAAGCAGCTGCTCTATATTGAAAAACCACTCTCCTGCCTTTTGGAGTTCAGGCCTAGGAGAGAAACAAAAGCCAATACATCCCTTAAAGGAACTTAACATCTAGGAGTGTGCAGACAAAATATTCAAAATACAAACCATAAAGTAAATGATCCAGAAAAATGTAACTGGAAGTCAGAGGAGAGTTTATCCTGGGTAGAGTGGTCATAAATGCTTCAGGTGAGAGGTGAGATTTGCCTGGGCCTTGAAAGAAAGAGGGCTTTGAAATAATTATTTTAAAATGAATCCTTGCTCATGATAAAATGCTTAAACTGAATAGAAGATCATGAAGTGAGGTGGACCCTGATTCTTCTTTTTCTAGGAATTCAAATAGACAAGGATTTAAATGCATGAAGTACAAAGAACAAAAGGAGAGTAAAGAGGCCAGAAAAGCCCAGTCTGACAAGCAGGGGTGGTCATGGTGGGGAAAAGGTTTGATGTTAGGGACTAATTACAAATGCAACTGAGCAACAAAGGGAACCGGCTGTACCTTCACACATGTGTCCAATCACACATTTGAAGGCCAAACAGAGGCCAGGTATGTGCTGGGACCTGAGGGACCCAGGGGAGTAAAAATTAATGGGATTGTTACACTTCTGTTTCAAAGACAAAGTCTGAGGAGTCTTACCATGACTTTGGCAGTTCTTTAGAAAAGTAAATCTAGGTGCAAGTGTAATTAGAAGGAGACCCTGGAGTCAAGAAGTTCCATTAAAAGCCTTCTGTATATTCCAGGCATAAAATGACGAAGTTTTAAAGCTGCGGCAGCAGAATTCTTAGAGTACAACTACTTCAAACTCTAACTAAATGAGAAAGAAATGTTAGACCTACAGAAGTTATAAATTAAAGGCTTTATAAAGTAACCATTGAAAAAAAAAAGTCTTGAAAAACTAAATGCAAAACCATAACTTAAATCGTTTATGAGATGTGAAAGGATAATACCTTTTATCACTTCAGAACTAGAAAAGATTTCTTAAACAAGATAACTTCTCTATACCATAAAAAGAAGAATAAAAAAATGCATTTTTATAACATATATCAATTATACCTTATAATAAATAAAAAAGAGAAAAGTATAAATCTTTATATCTTTTTAAACAATCTTTTTGTGCCTGCGTTGGCAGCACATACAAGAAAAGTAGAACAATACGGAGATTAGCATAGCCCCTGCGCAAAGATAATACACAAATTCATGAAGCACTCCACATTTTTTTTTAAAGGGACATATGTAATACTTTGAACAATAAAGTTAAAAAATTAATAATCATTTCATTCAAAGACATAATAAAAATGAAAAACAAGCCACCAGTTCAGCAAAGATAACTGAAGTGCATATTACAGAAATAGTCTTGTATCTAGTATACATAGCTCTAATAAATCAGTGCGATTTAAAAAAAAAAAAAAGTGGACAGCATATATAACTAAGCATTCCACAGATACCTGATTACTAATCAAGATAGGAAAAAAGTTCAACATGACTAGCAATCAGGGAAGAACATATTAAAACTATAAGGAGATATCACCCCACATCCATAAAATTGGCCAAAAAAATAAAATGTATCAAGCGTTTGCAAGGATATGGGACAAAAAGGCGCTCTTGTAGACTGCTAATGGGAATATAAAGAGGCACAACCCTTTTTGGTAATTTAGCATTATTTGCTAACTGTGAACATATAAATCCCATCTTTCTACAATTCCACTCCAAAGGAGATAGTCTATGAAAAGGATCCTCTTTGTTAGCACAAGGAAGTATACATATTAATGTTCAATTCAACCTTGCTGGAAAATACCCTAAATGTCTATCAACAGAAGACTGGTTCATTATTCATGATATATTATTCAATGGAATACCATATAGCAGTAACAATGAATAAATAAAACCTACATGAATGAATAAAACACGAATCAATTAAAGCAAGGGGAAGAAGACTATAAAAAGCATGTTACTATTTACACAGAGTTTAAAAACAGCATAAAGCAAAATGAGACTATATTGCTTAGGTTTATATACATACATAGAAAAGTATAAGGAAATGCATGGAAATGTTACACATAAATTTAGCATACAGCTTGGGGAGACATGCTTGGAGAGAGAGTACACTGGGAATAATAACAATATACATATTTAATTAATACTTATTTCAAAATCTAGATAGTGCTTATTATATTGTTACTTAATTTTGGGTGTTAGTGAAATACTTCACAATAACTTTTAATTAATAATAAATAATTGAAAAATAGTTTGTGACACAGATACTGAGTAAGTGGAGAGTGAGAGTCAAATAATACTTGAAAATTTTTCAAAATATTTCATGTCTTCTTTTCTCCCATTCTTAATTCCCTAGACCTGGTTCTCATCATTTATTGCTTGATTAGTGCAAAAGCCTCTTAATACTTCTCTCTGTCCCAATCTAGTTGTAGACTCATCTATTTCCATCAATTCAAGAGGCCACTTGTTCATGTTGCTGTCCACTCAAAATCTTCTAATGTTGCTATCCATTGTGAACATTCTTATGTAGTCATTGAAATACTCCATAATATATATATATATATATATATATATATATATATATATATATATACACACACACACTGAGAGGCCAGATTATTATATGTTTAGAGATCATAATAATCTGGCCACTCAGTATATATTCATCTTTCCTAATCAAATTCATCTCCAGCCCTAATTAAAATGCACTAGAGGAACTAGAACAGAATACCATTCTCCTCAACCAGGAAAATGTCATTGGTTTGCATCTATATATCTTTATTTTTTTAAATCTTTATTGCTGAAAGTATTACATATGTCTCTTTATTTCCCCCATTGACCTTTTCTAACCTCCATCCCTGGCTCCAAGTTTTTGCCACTCTATTGTCTGTGTCCATGAGTTATGCATATATGCATACAAGTTCTTTGGTAGGTCTCTTCCCTGGCTTCCCTCTGAGATTTCAATCAGTTCCATGCTTCTATGTCTCTGAATCTATTTTGTTCATCAATTTATTTTATTCCTTATATTCCACATATGAGTGAGATCATGTGATACTTATCTTTCTCTGACTGGCTTATTTCACTTAGCATAATACTTTCCAGGTCCCTCCATGCTGTCTCAAAAGGCAAGAGATCCTTCTTTTTTATTGCTGCATGGCATAAATGTACCACGTTTTTATCCACTCATCTACTGATGGTCACTTGGTCTGTTACCAGATCTTAACTATTATAAATTACTCTGCTGTGAACAGATGAGTGCATACATTCTTTCTTATTGGTGTTTTGGGTCCCTTAAGATATATCTCTAGAAGTGGGATCACTGGGTGTTTACTTTTTGAGGAAACCATAGGGTTTGCACCAGTCTACATTTCCACCAGTACTAGGGTTTCCTTTTCTCCACATCCTTGCTAGCACATGTCATATGTTGATTTGTTGTTGGTAACCTTTCTGACAGATGGGAGGTGATACTTCATTATCCTTTTAATTTGCATCTCTCTGATGATCAGTGACTTTGAGCATTTTTTCACACATCTCTTGGCCTTCTGTATGTCCACTTTGGAGAAGTCTAGTCAGGTCTATATTTTAAATTGGATTGTCTTCCTTTTATTAAGTTGTATAGCTCCTTATATATTTTGGATATTAACCCTTTATCAGATGTATCATTGCCAAATATTATGTTCTCCCATGGTGGAATCCCTTTTCATGCTGATACTGTTTCCTTTTGCTGAGTAGAAATCTTTTGTTTTGGCTAGTCTCATTTCTTTATTTTCTCCTTAGTTTCCCTTGCCCTAGGAGATGTATCTGTAAACATATTGCTATGAGAGATGTCTGAGATTTTGCTGCCTGTGGTTTCTTCTAGGATTTTTATGGTTTCACAAATTATATTTAAGACTTTTATCCATTTTGAGTTTACTCTTGTGTATGGTAGTCTAGGTCATTTTTTTTTTGGCATGTATCTGTCCAATTTTCCCAGCACATTTACTGAAGAGACTGTCTTGACTCCACTGTATGCTTTTGCCTCCTTTGCCAAATATTAATTGACCACAATGGCTTGATTCAATTTCTGGAATTTCTGTTCTTCTCCATTGATCTATATGTCTGTTCTTGTGCCAGTACAGTGCATCTCTATGTCTTTGTTAACAACCTTCTGCCTTATCAGAAAAGCCAACGCTTCTTCCATTTAATCCTTATCCAACCACACTAGTCCAGTTTAAGACCTTCCTCTTTGGGAAGCATTACACAATTATCCCATTCTTTGTGGAGCTCTGCCTCTCCATAAAAAAAAATAAGAAGAAGTATGATTAGTCCCAGATATTTAAGCACTTAGTTTTATTTTATAACACATTCTGACAAAGCACTTTTAAAAAATATATTTTTACTGATTTCAGAGAAGAAGGATGAGAGAGAGATAGAAACATCAATGATGAGAGAGAATCATTGATTGGCCCAATCCTGCATAACCCGCACTGGGGATCGAGCTGGAAACCCAGGCATGTGCCCTGACCGGGGAACAAACTGTGACCTCCTGGTTCATAGGTTGATGCTCAACCACTGAGCCATACTGGCTGGGCACAAATTACTTCTTAAGATTGCATCTTAATCTTATCCTTTGCATTAAATGGATATATCCTTTGCATTTAAGTTTCCCAGGGATTTGAATTATGTTTTGCTCTTCTGTATTATCCACACTAATGACTTACTGGAGATATTATCATTGTTTTTTGTTTGCTGATTCTTAGAATGAATATATTCAGGGCAAATATCTAATACCTGTAATCTAGATCCCTTAGGACTCTTAAAGCAGAATATCTAAAGCATAGAATAGGTCAGAATATATCCCATGGCTGGCCAGAAATTAGTATAAAAAATCATGGAAATACCTAGAAGACTATGATTTCATATAATTTTAAATGGTAAGTTTCAATTTCTCCTATGAATGAGAGACTAACTAATACCTATACAGAAATCAACCTCAAAGAAGAGAATCAGTTGTAGTCACCACCCTTTTTCCCATTACATTTGTCTCTCATCCCTGTCATCTTTCATTCCTCCATGAACAGTTGTAACCCTTCCATATGCAAACCTTATCTTAGCCCCTATCTCTGTTATCCCTTGACCTTAAGGTCTCATAAACAAAAAAATGAAATGCAAAACCAAGATATAAGTAAGGAGAAGATTCATTGGAGGCACAGGAAGGAATATTCAACCTGATGGAGTAAAGTTCAGGAAAGAAGTTTGAGCTAAGCCTTGAAAGGCAAGGATACAGTCAATGTGCAGACAAGGGGAGTGGTGAAGCTATTAATATATTGAGTAAGAAGGAATCTTTTTCTGCTTTTTAATCCTTTTCTTTTTAGCTCTATGAAAATACCTACTGGGTATTTTCAGAGTATGCTTGAGGGCAAAGAGTTTGAGACTGCAAGTAGGGCCATGCAAAGCCAGGTTAATGCCACCCTTGGAATTATGGTCCTTAAAGAGTTGGACCATTCTCTCACTTGTTTATTCCCTCAACCAATGCTTATTTAAGTGCCAGGTTTGGTGCTAGGCAGTGATATTTAGTGAACATGCTATAATGAGTTCTTGATTTCCTGGAATGCACAGTTCAGCAGGGAAGGCAGTCTATTGGATAATAACAAAAGTCAACTCTTTATTTACTATAAAAGGATCACACCAAAATATATAGAGCACTAAAAGTGCATTCAGCTGGCAAGCTTTACTGACTAAATGACTTTTCAGCTGATGTTTAAGAAAGAAGAAATAATGTGAGCAGCGTTGCAGGGCGAGTGAGGGGGAAAGACATCTCATTCAGTTGCATAGAAGCTACAGAGTCAAGTAAGTCTCATCTGAATGGCTAGGCCAGGGTTCACACAATAAACTTCTAAAGGTTTTACAGCCCCGAGGTTCCTTCGCTGCCCACTCCAAGCTCTCACTGGAAAAGTGCCTGCCTGTTAGAAAGAAAAATGAAAACTGTTCCTTTGCCTTCTGGGTTCATGTCTGGGAAAAGAACTTTTAAGGAGGAACTGTGCCTTGTCTTTTTGCTAGAGTAGAGCAATGCATCACATCAAAGGATAGTGTTTGCAAAGTCTGAGACAAGATCAAAATGCCACTTTCCTCTGAAACTGCAGCATGTGCTTTGTAAAGAAATCTCAGTGATATCTAGCAGGGGAATTTCTAGTCCAGAGATATATTCACATTCATACTGCATTTCCCCTGAAATATAACAGAAACCAGGAAAGGTAGGGTCCCCTGGGAAAGTTTATAATTATGGAGTTAGAGTAAGGGTTCATGTCTGTCCTCCTATCATATACTCTTAGCCATTCCAAAGTAGCAGAGTGAAAAGGGAAGTTACTCTAGCAAATGTTTTCAAATTAGCCAAAACCGTGTCAGCTGGAAATGTGCCTAAAGAGAGAGACCTTCCCAAGAGCTGTCGAAGGGAGTCATTTAAATAAATGTCTCTGAGTCCTCCTGCTGCAAACTGGGATGCACAAACCAGGGGGGTGAGTGAGTCCCAGAACAAATCCTCCTCTCTTAATGCTTATCCATGGCTTCCAAAAGCCCTCTACTTTGCTGAATACTAAGAAGACCTGGCAGGTCTAGGCAGTTAACATGCTGCCAAATCACACTTTTCATGCTTGCTTTTGTGTTGCTGCTTACAAATATGATTTTACAAATCTGAACAAATGGAGAGAAGATTCAGAAATCGTCAACGACAACAGATGAGTGAGCTATAAATGACTATGAAAATGCACAGTTTGGTTTCAGACCATTGCCAGGACTGTGGGTTTGTGTCTTGACAGCAGATCCAGAGCATTGATACCCAGTTCACAACAACCCCATGTGGGTCAACCACAGGCTAATTATGTTGGTTCTCAACTACCCAAGAAAAAGCCCAAGATTCTGGGCCAATGATTTGTGGCTATATATATCCAAAGGGCTTCCTTTATGTGATGTGTCTTTTGAAGTGGGATGTCACTTTTATCCAGGCATCATCAACTACTATAGGAAGGAGAAAATAATCGTCAATACCAATCAGGAGAAATCTTAAGCCAATAAAGGCAGAGAATATCTCAAGTTTCTCACTCATATACCAGTTGTCTGGCCCCTACCATTTGCTACAGTGGAGGATATAACATTGATAGGTCATCACATCTCAGATGCAATACCAAACTCTGTGCAATCGGAGTAAGAAAGAAAAGACCTCAAAGGGAAGTCATTCACCATTTTAGCCTCCCAATAGCCACATCTCAACTTTCCTGCTCTCAGTCCCATGCTTTACTCTGCAGGTTTGTATGTTGCAGGGTTACACAAAAAAAAAGTAGCATATATATGCAAATGCTGCAATGCTTTATGCATTAATGGTACATTGTATATAGCAAATATATGTTTTGCATAAGCCAGATAGTATGTGTTAGCAGAAAAGGAACTGGTACGTGGTATCCTATACAATGAGTTGCCAGTGAATGTTTTACTAAATTAAAGTAAATGACTGAAGATGAGTTCTAAATCCTCCTCTGTGCTTGAAGAATGTTTTAGACCTTCCTAGAAACAACATCTTTGGCAATTCCTGATGGACCACTCATCCAGAGAAAATCACCTTCACTGGATAGTAACAGGCTGCAAATGTCCCATGTTATATATATATTTAAGCAGGGGGAGGAAGACATTTGGGACCATTGGAATTATCCTTGTTTCTGAAAGTAGAGAATTATAAGCCCTTAGAGCTTCTGGAAATAAAAGAGACAGCCCAAGACATAGGGTGCTTTTAAACTTCCAAGTGTCTCAGCAGCACAAAGCTTTCTAGAACGTAAGCAAAGCCTTCTTCTGATTGTGTTTTAAAATAAAAATATATAAAGAGAACAACATACCACAGACATAAGGCATACGATTTAAGTGTGGGAGGTGAGGATTGGAGAAAAGTGTTTCGATTTTCCATAAGCCCTTTAACAGCCTTCCTGTTAAATGGTGCTCCTTTAGCAGGAGAAAATAATTGCCAAAGGGAAAAGAGAAAAGAAACAAAAGAGCTTTAAATTAAGCATGGAGAGGCCAAGTATGGTTTCTATAGAGATGAAACCTTCATAAAAATCTTCCAACTGAATATTTCCTAAGAGGAAACAGATCCTTCAGCTTGGAGCAGAATTGCTCAGATAAAGGGCGGGACAATTTGTGGGAATGACCAAGAAGGCACCACAATGTGAATTTGAATCTATCATAGAAATGTCACTATAAAAATATACAGCTAGATAGCACTTTACTATTTTTGATGTATTTGAAATACAAAATCAGAATGCTGAATTCTTCGTTTCCAGAGAAGTTTCTATTCAGAGAATATGGTACACGTCTCAATTAAGTGGTAGCTGAACTACTACTACGCTACTAAGTATGCTAAATGAGTAGACAGTAATACTTCAATTACCCTCTTCTGAATTTCAATTTTATGTTTTAAAAGACCAATCTAGTTGGCTATATGAAACAAAGACATATATACCCAATGGAGTTAAATCTAAGTACATGTAATTTGTATTTCCAAGGGTGATTCAATTTGGCTCTTGCGCTTAATAGGACTTAAAAAGTAGAACAGCATGTAGTTTTAGGCTATTTCTTTTTATGGGCTCCATAATATTTTGAGAGAAAAGTCTTGATTTCAATAATCACTGATATGGTTTCACAAGGTTTTCATCCTGGCAGAACAAAGTTTATATTGAAGAAGAAATTAAAGATACTAAATCATAAATATATCCCATAAAGATAACTCATATGTATTATTCTGCCCAAGCACAATTGTTTCTGTGTTTTATAGACACATGTAAATCTTAAAAAAAAAAAAAAAAAAAAAAAAAAAAAAAAAAAAAAAAAAAGACCCCATACTTGCAAATGCATTCAGGTTTTCCTCATACGAAGTAAACTAATACTTTCTCCTCAGGGAGACAATTTTTAAAAATCAGGGAATTTTAGGTCTGGAACTAGGAATATTTGAATGCAGTGACTTCCTTTATAGCACCTTTAAACTTTGAACTAATAAATCCTAAGGAAATAAATAACAAGGCTATTGACATTAGATTTCTATGAACTTTTCTATGTCATGACAGCATATGATTTTCTGAACCAATCTTTTATATTCAAAACATTAAATTTCATACATTTTAGATAGATTCAATATTTCCTTTGGGCTTTGAATTTCCTTTTTAAAAATATAAGCAAAAAAACAACAACTTTATTCTGACATTAAATAAATTAGGATACTTGTAGCATCTTTGCCTTCATGTCATTTCCATTCAAGTTGGGAAAAGAGTATTGCTATGTATGCAAAATTAGGTAGGCCAGTGCAAAGCTGTTTCCTGCCACGAAATGCTCTATAAATAAGTCAAAAGGCAATGAGCACCTTTCTGGTAACAACCATGTACATGGTGTGGTGTTCACATTTGGTGCCAAAATCACTTTCCTAGTTCTACACACACTCCCCCTCCAAGCGTCTGACTACAACTCACATTGTTCCACAAAGTCATCTGTGAAGACGACCAAAGCTACAGCTCTGCCTTTCATGGACACTTTTCTTATACGTCTTCCAACGTGTAATCCCATAACTTCACGTGTTCTTCCCGGGTGAGACAGGAAGCATCGATCTCTCCCACAGCGGAGCCAGACTCACTGTGTCCAGCGTGTACCATCTCGCCTGAGTCCATAAAAGAAACAACATCTCCGCCACCTGGGGTGCCTGTCCGGACTGTCTCTCCACCTCAAATGCATCCCCCTCCAAAAGCCTCCCTCTGCTCAGACAGAAAAGCCCACAGCGCTCCTGGCCAGGAGGGAGGCGAGCCCAGGAGCGGGGACAGACTGGTGCGCAGGCATAGGCATGGGCATAGGCATAGGCATAGGCATAGGCATTCAATGTCTCGGACACCGGAGCCCGAAGGCAGCGGGCCGCCCCCTCCCAGGCCGCCTTCCACTCACTGCCATCCACCACGCAAGGGCAGCTCGCATTGCCTGGAGAGCGAGGCAGCCAGAGCCCTGAATGCAGCGTCTTCATCCCGCGGGGCCCTGGGAAGGTCCGTCCTGCATGCAGCTGCAGCCGACCCTCAATGAAAGTGCAATTTGTTATCCCTCCCGGCTGCAAGGAAAGGTCCCCATCTGGTCTGGGCTCCAACTGCGCTCATTCAAGTCGCTGAATACTGGGTCTCATCGCCCGCCGCCCCATTCGCCAGCAACTCTCCAGTAGACTCCTCCTAGGACCCTGGTGTGTGTGTGTGTGTGTGTGTGTGTGTGTGTGTGTGTGTGTGTGCCTGCATGTGTGTGTGCGTGTGTGTATGTGTGTGTGTGTGTGTTGCTCTACCTTGATCTCACCCGGTGCCTCTGCCTCTCTTTGTGCCTCTGTTTCTCTGGCTTTCTCTCTCTCTCTTGCGCGGGCGCATACACATACACACACACACACACACACACACACACACACACACACACACACACACACGGAGGAGGCTCCGCAACCAATGCCAAAATGTCATCTAAAAGCAAGTGCAACAACTTGCTTTGGAAACGACTCAGGAGTGGAGAAAACCCCTGCAGGGAGCAGCCCCCTCCTCTCCTGCCTGGTGCATTAGGGGCTGGGGACGCGGAGGGGTGTGGATTTGGCTCTCTGAGAGGACCAGGAGCGGGGTTCTGGTCCCCTCCCCCTGCCAGGACCCTGTCGCAATTAGAAATCCATCCCCTCCCCTGGCCCTGGGAGAGCGAAGAGGACACCCGCCCGGAGAGGGCCGCGCTGGCCCCGGGATTCCCGGGATCCTTGGTGGGGAGGGAGTAACCCGGAGCCCGGAGTGCATCCCAGGCAAGGGGAAGTGGTCCCTGTGGGGGGCGGGCGACCAGGAGCCCATCCCACATCCCTGCCCCAGGGAGTGAAGCAGAAATCTCCCCGTGGGCAAGACACCTAGCGCGCAACGACCCACCCCGACCACCGCGGCAGTGGCGATGTCCTGGGTTCCCGGGCCGCCACCGCCCATTCACGCCCCAGCTCCCCGGCGCAGCCCGCGTTACCTGGCCGCTGCTTTCAGTCCGGCCCTCGGTCCTCCCTGAGGCCGTCTGTCTGTCCCAGGAGCTCCGGACAGAGGATGAAAGGGGAGGAAAGGGGTGTCCCGGATCGGGACAGGCTCTCAGCGGGGTGCGGGGAGCAGAGCCAAGGCGGCTGCGGCCACTCCTGCCGCCGATGCTGCCGATCCACCGGGGCGCCAGGTGTCCAAGAGGCCGTGTCCTCGGGATCCTGGCGACCTGAGCGCAGCGCCAGCCTCTGGCGCAGAGACTGAGCGCGGGGACACAGGAGCTGGGCTGGTCACCCGCCTCTGGGTGCCTGTGAATCCGGCGGGGAGGAGTCCCGCGCTCCCTCCGCCCCCGCACCGGAGCTGGCGGGCGGGCAGCGGCGCAGGGAGCTGGCCGCTTCCATCCGCCCCGGCCACCCCGGCACGGCCCCCGGCCCCGGCCCGGCGTGCCCTCGGCCTGCGGGTGCTGCCTGCTCAGCCTCCGCCTGACAAGTGCGCTCACACCCGCCCGAGAGGAAAGCCCCAGCAGCCAGGGATGGAGCCGGGAGGCGGCCACCCGTCAGTGGGCGTGCCCATCCGTTCCCTCCAGCGGTGTCCTGGTCCTTGGAGAAGGCACCCTGCTCCTAACCTGGCCTTCTTTAGGGAGGGAATCAGCAGCTCATCACACAGAGTCTCTCTGTCCTCTCCTTGTTATCCTCGAGGTCCCTAGTAGAATTTTTAAAGAAGTAATCACCAGAGAGGAGATGGAGGAGTGGAGAAGAATCTAGCCTCACAAGGGCCGACGTTGAAACCCTGTGCCATTACTTTCAAACAATTATGCCTCCGTTTCCCCATCTCTACCACTGTAGTTCTTGAATGTGCGGCTTAGATCGCACACTATACTATAGGCCACCGGTTCCTGTGTGTAGTATTCAGAGGGTAATCAGAAAAGTAAATCTGTTTCTCCTCTTCTCTGGTCTCTGAAACTTCCCACCCCCCACCCCAAGAGCCTTCGGAAGCCAGGCTCCTCACCTTTGGGTATTCTCTGAAAACAGTACATAATCCTTGTGCCCTGGGGGTAAGAAGAGCGATAAATGGTGTGACGGGTGAATTGTGATGAGGGCCAAAGAGAAAAAAAGTCAATCAACTGATGTTCAAGATGACAATGATAATAGTTTAATAGTTAAAAGTAAGTGGTCAATCACTGTTTGCCTGTTTCCCCTGTACTAAAAAAAATAAAATAAAAAATAGGAGACTGTCCTTTGTACCACAGCTCCCACAGAGAACATGATGCCAAAGAGTATATAATCTTCTTTATGTAATTGTACCCATAAAGTTATAGCATAAGATTTAGCATCTGCTTTGTGTGATATCTAATTATAAATATTAATAGAATATCCGTTTTTCAAGAAAACAGTTCTAAAAATGCAGGGAAGTGAAAACCAGTTTCCATAAAGATATGACTCAGAAAAATAATCGCTTTTCTGCAATTTTACTGAGTGATTTTCCATTACTAAACACTCAAAGAAATGGAGGTAAATCCTCAGGGTAGTCATCGGTGACAGAAACCAAGTATCGTTAATTTAAGAGAAAGTAATGTATTGGGAAGATACTGAAAGTTTCCATGGTTGAAGGGAGGGTATTAGGTTTGACAGAGCAATTGAATTGATTCCCATCCCCTAGGAACTGGCTTTTCAAGGCCATTTCACTGTGGACATTCCTTTAGCTGAGACAAATTTTACCTGCTGGTGATCGCATTCCATGATCTCCCCTCCTGGTATGCACAGAGAATTCTCCACCCAGAAAGAGCCACCGACTCCCTTCACTGGGTGCTGGAGCTATCCAAGTTCAGCCACCTGGTGTGCTGATGGTCGAATACATTTGTAATCCCTCACCATTCTAGCCTCATGTGTTCCTCCTTCGGTGACCTAGCAGGGCTGGAGAGCAATCTTGCAAACAAGCAGGGTTTGAGATAGTACTGGAGGGCTAGGAAGCTGGGAAGACAAAACCAGTTTGGGTTGGTGCTGCTCAGTCAATATGAGTAAATGCCATCTGTTCTTTCCAACCTCACATTACTGGATCAAAATGTCACAGGGCAGAGCATTTGACTAGCCAAACTGCATTCAGTCACTAACTCCCTGGCTGTACCCACATAGGGAGAGGACTGGTTTTTTACTTCCAGAATGGTTTTATTACCCTTCCAAAAGTACACATGATTGGAAATAAGTAATTTCTCAAAATAAATTCAGGGAGTGATTAAAAAGCAGAATCTGAGCTCTGGCCAGTGTGACTCAGTGGATAGAGCGTTGGCCTGCTTACCAAAGAGTCCAGGGTTTGATTACCAGTCAAGGGTGTGTACCTGGGTTGCAGGTTTGATCACTGGCCCTGGTCAGGATATGAGGGTGGTAAACACTAGATGTCTCTCTCTCTCCCTCCCTCTCTCCCTTTCTCTCTCTCTCTGAAAGTCAATGGAAAAAATATAATCAGGAGAGAATTTAAAACAAAACAAACAAACAAAAACACAGAAAAAAAGCATTTGATGATGACATCAGAAAATGATCAATGTCTGTTACATTGATCAGCTATAAAATTTGCATTATTTCTTAGTTACAGTATTTGGAAATGAACAGTGCTATTGTGCAACTAAAACTGATAGCACTTTTTTGTAGTAATTGTGCATATACTTATTTTCAGTTAAGGAATGCTATTTAAATATCATATATATGGCCAGTTACTTTATATAAGCATAGTGCCTATAAGCAATACTGCAAGCCAGGGCTAGCAACTGTGTTCATTTCTAGTCATAGATAGTATAGTTGCTGAACAATAGCCCAGGAAAGATGTCCATGTCCCAATCCCTCAAACCAGTGACTGTTATCTTTCATAAAAATTTGCAGATGTAATTAAGAATCTTGAGATGAAACATTTATCCTGAATTACCCCATGGGCTGGGGTAACTCTAGGGCTCTCATAAGAGGGAATTAAGAAAGTTGAAGGCAGGAAAAAAAGATGGGATGATGGAAGCAAAGGTTAGAGTGATGCACTTTTGAAGATGGAGGAAGGTGACGATAAGCAAAGGAATGCAGATAGTCTCTAGAAGCTGAAAAAGGAAAAAAGAATCTTCCCTAGAGCCTTCAGGGAAAAAATGCCAGTCTGTCAACCTCTTGATTTTACCTCAGTTAAACTGATTTCAGACTACTGATCTCCATAACTGCAAGATGATAAATTCATGTTGTTTTAAGCCACCAAGTGTCTAGTAATTAGCAACATCAGCCATAGGAAACTGACATAGACAGCTTAGCTAATCCTTGGAGCACACTATTGGTAGCAGGTGTCCTGAGAGCTCTTACTATGGAAGAAGCACAAAGGTCTATTTACTTCTGGAGAAGATAACTTAAAGCAGGCAGGGTCAGCAATGTATTGGTAAGAACAGGAGATTGGAAAACATGGATAGACAGGGTTCCTATCCATGTCTCTGGTCATATCAAAATGGTTGCTTTCTTCTTAGACCACAACATGGACAAACAGATTTAAAAATCCCATTAAATTGAAGTATAGTTGTGAAAAAAACTCAGAGGGCAATGTGAATGGTAAATGTGGAAGACATACAAGTTTCTTCTCCATTAACAAAGCATTCTCATTCATTCCCATGGTCTTACGTAACATTTAAATGGCGATCCCAGATCTATATCCTTAGCTTTGATCTCTCACCTAGTTTAGATATTTGTGTATCCAAAAACCTGTTAAACAAATCTATTTGAAATTTGCACTTGTCCCACAGACTTAACAGCTGCAAATTAAATTCACCACCTTCTGCCTGTTCCCTCCATTCAAATTTATTCCTTTTCTTGTTACACCTTAGGAACTGATGGCACTACCATCCACCAACTCAGCAATCCCAGAACCTTGCAAGTTATCTTCTCCTGTACTCACCAATGATGTCTAATCCATCAATAAACATTGTTGATTTCTCTTACCATGTGAACTGATCTTGAATCATTCCTATGAATCATTCCTATGTCCCCATCTGCCTTTGTCATCTCATCCTAGGTTTATTATCCTCCTAACTTCTTTTCTTGCCCCTAGTCTTACTCCTCTTCATTTCAGCAAGAATGGTTGTTTAAAAATACACTCTGAGCATGTTAATCCTGTGCTTTACCTACAGTTAAGCTCCTTATAATAACATACAAGGCTCTCAGAAACGTGCTTTTACCTCTTTCTTCTGCCTTTGTTCCTGTTATTGTGTACATTATGCTTCAATACATCCGACTGCTGCTTATAATGCCATTCATGTTGCGTGCTCTGAAATATATCTATAACTTTTTCACATTATTGTCTCTGTCTCGAATGACCTCTCTCTGCCTTTACTGGCTAATATTTATTTCTCCTTCTATCCTTGTTTCAGTTACCTCATGCCTAAACCATTCAGTTGGATTAAGTGTTGCCAATACTCACTGCACTTACTGCTACCTTAGTACTTACCACATTATATTAACATTTTCAGGGTATCTGGGTTGTGTTTTGGAGACTATAGCTATCCATATTTGGTACTTCAATGCCTACCATAGTAATCAGCTCTCAATAGAAAATAAATACATATTTGTTAGACTGAATTAAGATGAACTGCTTAGAGAATATTTTGTAATGTCAGTATATATCTTAATATAATTTAGCAGAACCCTATGTATAACATAATATAACTGTAGCTAGATAATAAAACCCATTGCTCATCAGGTTTAATAAAGGAAAAGCTTTCTTTTCATGCTAACAGAATACAAAAAAATATTGAGGAGACATATGAAGACATCGTGTCTAGTTTTTCTTTTTAGTAGTAAAAAGAAAATGAAATAGTCTTGCTATTCTCAAATGCTTTTCAAGTAATATTTTTTTGCTTTATGTTTTATTTAACATTTTGTATTAAAGATATAAATGCTGGAATGTGTTTGATTTAGCTTCTGCTTCAGCCCTTCTTTTATACGGGTCATTTTGTTTGCACATTAATCTATAACACATGGTCTCCTCTGCCTGTCACCTCTCTATACCTCTATTTACTTTCCACCCATTGCAATATGGTGGGAGGCCTGTGCATGCAACCTGGCTTTGTTCTGATAAAGGTGGTCTAATTTTCCCAACAAATGATCCTTTGAAGTTTGTATTTCCTTGATATCTAATTAGAATTGTATACTGTGAATAACTGATTTATCAATTTTTTCACTATAAACTTTGATTACTTTACTGTCTCCTGGTATTCCTTCTACTTACCTGCCCTTAAGCTTTCCTACCACATCTGTAATTATCATGCCCCCAAGACAGTAGCTGAGGGCATTGGTGAGAGTGAGATCTCTGAAGAGAAAGCACTCTTGGTCAGGGCTCTGGGAAGTCTCTGCAATCCCCCTGGTGAAGAATGAAGAGCCCAGCATTTGAGGTGGGAGAAAACCCAGAAGCACAAGGCCCTGAAGACAGCAGTTCCATGGAAACCAAAGAATGAGAAAGTTTT